CTTAGAAAGGGCAGATGGGGCCTCAGGGATGGGTGTATGGAACTCAAATAGGAGTCCTTCCTGGTGGAGTGGGTGGGCCAGTGGGGTGGTTAGGTGAGCCGGCAGACATAATAGGTGAGCTGTGGGGAGGAAGAGAGAGCCATGAGGGGTTTAGGGGGAGCAAGTGGGCAAGCAGGTAGGCGTCCATGGGAACAGGTGGTCAGTGGGGAGAGATCTAGGGAGAATAGGTGGGCCTTTGGGGTCAGGAGGAGAAGATAGACAGTAGGGAGGAGGCCAGGTAGGTAGGTGGGTGGCAGGGAGAGGTCCAGGGAGGGCAGGTTGGCCGTGGGGAGGGGGTCAGGAGGGGCAAATGGACTAGGAAGGGCCCAGAGGAAACAGGTGGACAGCAGGGAGAATCAGGAGCGGGCAGGTGGGCGGCAGGGACAGGATGCCCACATAAGGGGGTGCGGGCCATTCCCGAATGACCATTTCTCTTAATGCTCTGGTTTTGAGACGGCAGAGGGAAGGGACAAGTAGAAATTGCAAAATTGAGTTTCCTTCCTTCCCTTGACAACTGCCCAGTTGAACATTGGCTCTGGGCCTATCTGGCCCGATTGGCTGGCCTGGGTCAGTGAAGACACGATGGTTTTGCAGCACACCCTCTGGTTCGTCAGACTGAGTCCTCGTCACCAGCGCTGGGTCATTCATTCTCAGCAGGAATTACACCCAGGCGGGTAGTAAGTAACCCTGAGCCGTGCGCGGGAGCCCCGCCCTCCTGACGCCATCAAGCGAGCCAAGGCGGAGCCCCGCCCCCGAAGGCGTGGCCGGGAGGCCCCAGCCAATGGGCGTGCGCGTCTGCCGCGGCCAATAGGAAGGCAGCGCGGGCTCGTGCGAGGCGCGCCGCCGCCAGGCTTCCGGGCTCTGGTCATGGCCGCGTCGCGAGTCTCCGCGGTGTCCTCGGACCAGGGTCCGCGCGCCCTCCGGAGGTCCTGGTCCGAGCTGCTGGGTACGTGGGCGCCCAGGCCGAGGACCCGGCCCCGTGCACCCTTTACCCGGCTCCTTCCTCTCTCGTCCGCGGGCCTCCAGTTCCCCCCATTCCCACCTCTGTAGTCCCGGAGAACGGTTCCGCGTCCCTCTTCCTCAAACCAGTACTTTGGGAAGCACAGAGAGTTTTGTCCTAACTGCCGGCCCAGTTGCGCCTCAACCTTAGGGGTTCGCTGAGTCATTTAGCGAGCCCGGATTTTGCGGGTCTCCCGAGCCCCGCTCTCCTTTCGTGACCCTGACGTGTGTTGGGCTGTGCGTTTTGGGGAGCCTCCCTGGGGACCCCGCCGGGGTGCACGCTGTCCCTGTGCGGCCTCCAGCGGAGCACCTGGTGGCTCGAACCGCGCGCCGTGGGGATGGCAGCGCGGCTTCTTGGCCGAGGCCCGAGCCCCTGGACATTGTGAGCAGGGCATGATTGGTGACATGTCTTCCCTCTCCCAGCGGGAAGAGCTAAGAGGCAGAGATTCGGTCCCGAAAGGAGCCCGACGTTAAAGGCAGCGGCGGTGCGCCTGCTGAGGAGCCATCAGGACGTGGATGGCCTTCTGCTCGAGGTACACGGAGCCTGGCTTGTGCTTGCAGGGCGGAGAGCCCCCGCGGGGCGATCCCGACCACCCAGGGCTTCACAGGGAGGTCAGGGAGCACAGGTCGTGGTGGGG